CTTCGGGGCGTGGATGGCCCGGCAAGAGGCCAACGTGCAGGGGCTGCGGGAGGCCATGAAGGAGTACTACTCAGACGACGGGAGTACTACTCAGACGACGACGAGGACGAAGACATGGATGAGCAGCAGCATGGGGAAGCCTCAGGCGAGACGTACGCCATGTCGGCAGCGGGGGAGCAGGGGCTGCCCTCCTCATCCAGGCAGCCCGAAGCACGTGACACGGCATCAGCATGGGGGCGTGTCACGTGAGAGGAGTGGGAGTCGTTTCTGAATCCGCCGGGGAGGCGGACACAGCAGGACTGGATCAATGGTGATGATGACAAGGATGGGAATGGGAACGGGAAGAGATGGCCCGGCAAGGGGCCAAGGTGGAGGGGCTGTGGGACGCGATGCAGGATTATACTAGCGGATACTCTGTGTTCCTGTGTGTACAAGTAACCGCTGTCTACATTTTATATCACAGTTAGTTTGTGTTTTGATTGAGCACGGAGTGTGTCAAATTGAGACGAGGCTCTTCCTTATGTAATGAACTGGAATCTCAACCGAATCTCTTCACTCACTGGTCGGTCTCCACCACACATTTGCTGCCTGTCGTTGCAACGAGTTCATTCACACACTCATCCATCCATTTATTCATTCACGCGACGACAGCTGCCATAGTGCTCTCTTGGTGCCGTCCCTCTTCCTCCGACACCAACCGCGCCTTGACCTGTTTGCACACACAGACAGACACTCACACACTCATGTGGTGTCATCCATCCGTCCGTCCGTCCGTCCACTGATTGGTTACCTTTTGTATGGTTGTGTGGCTGAGTCTGCAGGCCTCTGCCGGCGTCTCGCCCGCCGCGGCGATGCAGTCGGCCGTCAGGACCAACTTGTGGTCACGCACCTCGACACGAGTCGATAGCTGCACACACACACAAATGGCTGACGTGTGTGTGCGGTGCATTCCTTGCTTTGCTGGCTGACCCATTTGGTGGTGCCAGGCTTGAGGATTATGTGTCTGGCGAGCGGCTTGCCGTTGACCTGCAGATCGTACTGACGCTCCCCTGCACACACACACACACACGTGGACTCGTGTGTCGTGAGGTGACTGGCTGGCTGGCTGGCTGGCTGACGGTCGTCTGTCTTGCAGAGTGTGCCGATCTGCACGGCCACCTCATACACACCTGCACGTGTTGCGGGCCACACAACGATTGATCGATGCATTGATCAACGTGTGTGTCGTTCTGTGTGTGCGTACCATTGTGTGTGAGGTTGGCGTGCCACGAGTTGGGGTTGCAGTCCTCTTGGCCCGTGAAGCACAGCACACTGTCGGGTGAGGGCGGGAAGGCAATGCCCGGCGGCAGCCGCGTCATCGTCATGCTGTCGCCGCACTGGACGAGTCGGTCCTCTGCCGGCTCAGCCCACCCATACTCAGCACCCACCGAGGCCTATTAACACACACACATCCATCCATCCATCCATGTGTGTGGATGGTCATTGTGTGTGGCTCTTTCGCTCACTTTGGCGCCGTTGTCCATTTTGTATGAGCGCGGCGGGACGACGCTCGCCGATTGGAATGACACCGACACGTTGTACACAGACTGACACAAACACACCACCACACCACCACACACACATTCATCAATACTCTCTCTGTGTGTGTGGGGGTCACTTACCGTTGTCGGTTTCTTGTCGGGTTCCCTGGCCGACACCCTGACGACCTCGTGGGTCTCGTCCTCCTCGACGCACTGTGTGCCGAGCACGTCGAATGAGCCGCCCGTGATGGTCTGCGGGGCGTCCAACACGAGGCTGATGTTCACGGCCGCCGACACCACCGGGTGGACGAGGGGCAGCTCGGTTGTTGTGGTCGGGTGGGCGGCTGATGGGACGGCCAGCACCTCTGGCGGCACGTCGGTGAGGCCTGGGTAGTCGACGATGAGTTTGTGCGGCTGCTGTGGGCCGCTGGTGGGTGTGTATCGGATGGCTGTGGCAGTGACGGGCCTCTTAAAGCGCACCGACAGCCACGGGTGAGTGGTCTCCTTCCCGGCGGTGCGCCAGACGCCAAAGGCCGCGTCCTCGTGGACACCAGACACACCCGAGAGGGCACCGAACTCAGGAGATAACTGACATGGACAGGCACACACACACATTGATGGATGGATGGTCTGTGTGATGGTCTGTGTGTCGTGTGTGTGTGTCGTGTGTGTGTATACCTCGCTGGATGCCGAGGCGCTCGCAAAGGCAGTGGCTGATCGACACACACACAGAGACAGAGAGCGATGTGGCAGAGAGAGAGAGAGTGTGTGTGTGTGTGTTGTGGTGTACTGACATGTCGGTAGCGAGAGGACTTCGGTCGGTCCGCCGCAGAGCTTCTCCTTCTCACTCACACCCTGCTCTGCACACACACACACAGACACACAGATATATGTTTGTGTGTCGTGTGTTGGCCGTCAGTCATTTCTCGCACCGAATGCGATGAAGAAGGGCGTGGGGTTGTCCTTCGTCTGCTGGTCGGTGATCGGTTTGAGGCAGACAGTGCCGCCCTCGACCACACCAAAGTAATACACACCGTACAGAGCCGATGACGACGCCCTGCATGACACCGACACAAACACTCGTCTACATCATATGATATGTATGTGCCGCACCTCAACTCACTCACCGCTTTGCGCCGGGCTGTGTCTTGAGGACCGTCAACAGGTCGGGGTGACGATGCACGCGGACCAACTGACATTGCCACACACACACAGACACTTGCTCACCTGTTGGCTGTCTGTGTGTGTGTGTGTCTGACATACTTACCGGTTTGGTTGAGCACGGTTTGAGTGGGAGCTGTCTGTCTGCGGGGAAGGCGACATAGATGCGGGCGGCCGTCGACACGCTGACGTTGAAGGCACTCGGGTCCGGCAGTCTGCTGGTGCGCATCATCCGCTTGTGGACGAGCGAGTCGGGCAGGTCGGAAATGACAAACGAGGCCTCGCCCACGAAGGCGGAGACCCCGTTCTGCAGAGACGTCATCTCGAACCGACGCGAGTCGATACTACACACACACACACATAAGAGAGAGAGCATTCGCCGTGGCTGTGTGTGTGTGTGTGTGTGTTGTCCATCCATCCATCCACTTTGGTCACCCCGAGATTTTGAGTGCCGTTTGTGCGTCTGATTTGAAGAGTGCGGAGGGCGGGATGATGCTCTCGGGGACGGTCTCGCTCTGCCACCACAGCCGGACCACCGAATCCTCCGTGTGCTCAGCTGAAGCAGCACACACGACACACACTCAGCCACACGCCGACGCATTATCACTGGAGAGCCCACTCACTCAGTAGGTGGTGTGTGTGGAAGGCCTCCAGTCGGATTTTGTACTTCTTGCCGCCGACGAGGTGCTGAGATGAGGGTGTGCGTGTGAGCTGCGGGCCGTCCATGGGGTGGTCGGCGAGGATGTCGATGGGCTCGTCGCTCGTGGCCTCCTCGCGGCTCTCCGGCGAGGGCATGCGGTCCACCAAGACGGCATTCTCGTTCAGAAACAGTCTCGCCCCGCAGTCAGCACGAACAGAGAACGTGTAGAAACCTAAAAACACACACAGACAGACAGACAGACAGAATGTGGTGTCGTCCCCCCTCTCTCCCCTCTCTCCCCTCTGTGTGTGTGGATGTGTGGATGGTTGCCTGTGTGCGGCGCCTTGACGTATCCATCCCATCTGACAGAGAAGTGCTCGGCGGCCACGCCATCGACGGGCGGTGTGGCGAACCACTGGAAGTCGATGTTGGGGTCGTCCCGGTAGACCGCCGGCCCGTCGAAGGCCGCTCCATTTTAGTAGGCCGCGCGAAGGCCGTCGGGCAATCCGTCCTCTGTGTGTGGGTAAGGGACACACAACAAACAGACACTCACTCACCGATCCATCTGATGATTTGTGTGTGTGTGGTGTTGCCTTCATAGCCCGGTAGTCCTTCGCAGTTGTCTGGCTGCATGAGAAGCGTCTCCTCGTTGCGAGCGATGTCCGCCTTGGCTCTCTCGATGGCCTCGGCGAGTGGATCGATCTTGGCGGCGGCCTGGCTGATGTCGTTGAGGCAGTGGCGGCTCTTGCCGATGACGCCCTCGAGCCGGTCGACGCGGCCCAGCAGCGCATCGTGGGACGCACCACACAGACTGGCGTAGCGGTCCAACTCACCCTGACGGAGACAGACAGACAGACAGACATGGGTGTGTCGTTTCGTTAGTTACGTGTGTGTGCTGGATGTGATGTCACAGCGCAGCGCACCTGGAGTCCTGCTGTCTCGTCGGTGAGTTTGTTGATCTGTGTGCGGGCGAGGTCGGCCTTGGTGGTCAGGGCGTCGCGCACAAACGACCGGACGGCGTCATAGTCAATGCGAGGCGCGCAATACGCCCTGAAACATTCATTTATCAGAGACACACACACTGATTTGATGCGTGTGGTGTGGCTGTGATGGATGGGATGCTCACTCACCATGGCTGCTGGCCAGGCTGCTGGACTTGGGCCTCGACATAGCACCACTCTCTGCCTGTGTTCCACTCGGGCGTGGCCGTCGTCGTGCAGTCAGTGAAAATCTGACCCGACCGGACAAACGTCGCGGCGCACAAACGACCTGCACAAGTAAGCGCATCACACACAGATGGATGGATGGATGGAGTGATGTGTGTCTCGTTTGCTCATTTTTCTGACCGTCGATGGTCTTCCTGTGCTGCTGTCTGAACTGTATCAGCGCCTGAAGCGGCTCACGGTCATAACCTACACCCACACGACACATTAACACGACACATTAACACACAACACTATTGATATGAGACACACACAAGTGAGTGAATTCCGGTCGACAGAGATGGGTGTGGGTGGTCTTTGGAAGTGTGGGTGTTGCCGTTAATGCCCCACACCAGGTCACACGACAGCATTACCAAAAACCGGTCTAGCACTGTTGTCTTGGCACACACACACCGCACAAATGCCAACACGACTGACTTGACGGCAAAAAGGCACTCGGTCACATGCCGCTCATCTCATCCACACATCCACACCACCAGGTGCGTCAGCCACACGCTAATCAACTCAACCAGCGCCGCGCCCCTCGTGTGTGTGTGTTCATTCATTCCTTGGTCTTGCTGGGGTATGTCCACTCGACGCCCGGGGTGTACCGAAGAGACGAATACAGCTCCTGCAGTGCACACACGAGGACAGACAGCCATGGGTGCATGGATGGCCGTACTGCAACCTCCCCCACCTGTCTGGAATACATTTTGGGCAGCCACTCCTCGACCGTGCCCTTCTCCCTCAGTGTCGCCAACATCTCCTGAGTGAGTACCGCGACGCCCATAACATACCGATAAACATCCATCCATCCATCCACCAATGTGTATGCTCACCTGCACAGGTTTCATGGCGACCCTCAGGGTGGTGACAGGGAAGATGACGCAGTGGTAGCCCATCATGGCGTATGTCGAGAGGGGCAGCATGGGCGTCTTGCCGAACTCCGTCATGTTGGCCAGCAGGAAGGGGCCACCGTCGGGCGCATCGCCGCGCAGACCCTTCATGTGCGACGCGAACTCGGCAAACTCCGACTGAACGAAGGCACCCACCCACACACATACATATGGCATCCCACTCTCCCTCCCTCCCTTCCTCCCTCCCTCTCTCCCTCCCTCCCTCCCTCTCTGTCTTTCTTTCTCACCTCAGTGTGCAGCCCTTCCGGAAATATCATGTCGGCCCCGGCCTCGACATAAGCCTTGGCGCGTGCCACCGCCGCCTGCATGCCCTCTACCGCCCTCGCGTCCGTCCTGGCGCACACGATGAAGGTGCCGTCCGAGCAGGCATCGCTCGCCCGCCGGGCGCGCCCCACCTTGGCAGCCATGTCGATTGTCGGGATGAGCGCCTTGCCGTCGAGGTGGCCGCACCGTTTTGGGAAGACCTGGTCCTCGATGTGAAGGCCCGCCGCGCCGGCCCGGTGGTACTCCCACACTGTCTTGGTCACCATCTCGCCCTCGCCGAAACCTGGTGGATGAATGAATGAACACACGGAGAGATCACACCCACCCATCAGCCGTGCCGTCGTTGCTGGCTGATATATATGGGACTGACACTGACCTGTGTCAGCGTCTGCAATGCAGGGCAGGCCGCTCGATGTCGTGACGTCGTGAATGACCCGCGTGAAGCCCTCTAGCGTCAGCAAACCAATGTCCGGACACCCCACCGCGGCACTCACCGCACCGCCCGACACGTAGCAGCCATCGAACCCCGCTTCGGCCACCAGACGGCCCACCAGGCCATTGAAGGCTCCGGGCAGCGCCACACACCCCTGCTTCATCAGCGCTCGAAGCCGCGCGCCAGGCTGGACCATCGGCATGGCGATGGCGGAGATCTGTGCTTTTGCGGGGAGGACGGCACAACAGGCACACAGACGGCACAGATGAATGAGAGATCACCACCGAAATGCGCCAGGTCTGCAACGGGTCGATCGTAGCTCGACCCGGTCGAGAAGGAGGCGAAAAGCAGGACCGCGGAGGGCGTACGCAGCATAGGCGTCGCATCTGGAGATACTCGTTGCATCAGATCGCTGATTTGAAGCCTCTTCCGGCAACGCGGTGACGTAGAGTTTGTGTGGTGCCTTCCATGGCGTCCAAGAGCGCCCGAAAGCGGCGGGCCAAGAAGGAGCGTGAGGGCGACATCGCAGAGATCGATGCCGACGGGTTGGTGTTGGGCGGTGAGAGCGATGAGCCAGAGAGCGCCACGCTGCAGCAGAAGAAGGGCGTCTTCTCGCGGATGGTGAGTGTACCTACCGGGGAGATCAGGGCACGTACAATGACAGAATGGCATGGCAGTGCCCAGACGGAAGGAAAGAGCTCAGTTGTGCGTCTGTGTGTGTGGATGTTTGTGTGTGTGCACAGGCTGATGAGGACGATAAAGGGTGGGTGGTGCAGGGGGGCAAGAAAGGGAAGGACAGCAAGAAAAACCAAAGTGAGGGAGGGAGGTCACAACCAATCGGATGGAGAGATCATCACATGAATGACCTGACTGACATCGTTCTACGCCACATGTCTGTCTATATGTGTGTGTGTGTGTGTGTGTGTATTGTGTGTGTTTCAGCAGCCAGCAAGTCCAAGTCGTCATCATCATCAGCGCGGCCGGCTGGCCGAGCGGTCAACGGCAGCAGAGAGGGGCAGGGCGGGTACGCCCGCACGCACAGACACACACACACACACACACAGAGAGAGAGAGAGAGAGAGACAGAGACCTTGCTTGTGATCACTCAGGTCATCTAGGCGTGCCGAGGAGGATGACTACGACGATGAGGACGACTGGCAGGACGACACCAACGAGAGCAACGACACTGACGTGCGTATGAGTCTGACGCTTGTGCCATGGATGGATGGCTGGCTGGCTGGCTGGCTGGATGGATCCTTTCCAGGCCCCATTTCTCTCTGTCTGTGTGTGTCTGTGTGTGTGTGTTCTCTTCTGCAGGATGCGTTAGGTTTGCAGGAGGACCCCGAGGCGGCTGCGCAGAGGGCTGCCGAGAGGGAGAAGGCCAAACAGGCCAGGAAAGAGAGAGAGGCCGAGAAGAAGAAAGCACGGGTGAGTGGGTCAGCCAACCACAAACCCACCTGACCGCACACACATGGATCGATGGCGACCTTGCAACGCATTTATTCGTTCATTCAGGAGAAGGTCAAGCGTGAGAAGGAGAGGGAGCGGGCGGCCGTCAAGAGTCGGCGGTGGCGGCAGGCGGCCTTCGACGAGCTCTCGGAGATCAAGCCCACCACCCTCACGCAGAAGATCTTCAACTGCGGGGTGGGCTTCTTTGTCCTCATCTGTGTGTGCGGCATGTTCGCCTTGCGCTTTGGCGAGGAGAACTACGACATCAAGGGCATGACACGATCCGACGATGTGAGTGAGCACAGAGAGAGAGAGAGAGAGAGATGTGGTCTTCCGTGTGCATCGCCGTGTCTGTGGACGGACGGGGGATGATAGGTTGATTACTACGCTGCGTTGGAGGTGGCGCGCTCGGCGGACCAGTCTGAGATCAAGCGGAGCTACCGGAAGCTGTCTTTGCGGTGGCACCCCGACAAAAACCCCAACTGCCAGGCCTGCCTAGAGAGATTCAGGGTCGGTCAGCCAGCCCTCTGCCGCCGTACCAACCGACATGCGAAAGAGGGTCAGTCTTCATCTGTGTGTGTGTGTGTGTGTGGTGTGTGTTATGTGTCAGGAGATCAGCAAGGCGTATGAGATTCTGGGCGACGAAGAGAAGCGCAGACTCTATGACGAGGTGGGGGAACACGACACCTGCACACACAGAGGAAGGGCAGGCAGGCAGGCAGGCCGTGGTGGGATGGATGGATGGATGTGGCCCCGTGTGTGTGTGTGCAGGTGGCAGGCGAGTATGACGCCATTCCCTCAAGCACCACCACACTCACTGCGGAGACCTACTCGAGGTCAGCACCTAGATGCACACACACACACACACAGAGAGAGAGAGAGAGAGAGAGCAAGAGCAAGAGCAAATGCGTGAGTGTGTGTTCTGCCCGTTCGTGTGTGTTGCCTCTGTGTGTGGTCCATCAGGTTGGTGTTGGAGTCGAACGACGTGTGGATCATCCAGCTGTATTCCGACTTCGAGGGGCTCTGCAGAGAATTCTCACCCGTCTGGGAAGAAACTGGTATGTATGTGGCTGCCTGCAGCCACCCCCACACCCACACACACACAGAGAGAGAGAAACAAACGTCCCATGGTGTGTGTGTGTGCGTGTGTGTGTGTGTGTCCAACACGACAGCGTTTCAGCTGGGTCGGTATCTGAAGTTCGGTCGTCTGAATGTGAATCGCGAGAAGAAGGCCATGAAGCTGCTGCCTCTGAAGCCCGGGGTGCTGCCCACCACCTTCATTTACGCCAGGGGCACACGGCCGGAGGTGCGCACGAACAAACAGACAGACACTCAGACACATCGAGAGGAAGAGGGAGGGAGAGAGGTTGTGTGTGTGTGTGGGGCGTGAGGTGAGCAGATCTATAGCCGTGTGATGCGCCCTACGGTGGAGAGTCTGAAGATGTTCCTCATCGAGAACTTCCCCAATCCTGTGCAGATGCTCAGAGACCACAGTGAGCAGCCAACCACACACACATGGACTAAGCCATCCATCCACTCGCTGACGCGTTTGTTGCTGTCTGTGTGTTCAGAGAGTCTGCTGCGCTTCCTCTCTGCCGACACGACAGCCCAGGGCGTTGCCAAGCTGCTGCTTATCACCAGCAGGCCACAGCCATCCCTTCTCATGAAGGCGGCTTCACACAAGTAACCAACTCACTCACAATAGAAGGAGACAGAGGGAGGAGAGTGAGAGGCCCGGCCCCCACTGTGTGTGTGTTCCCCAATCTAATCAGGTGGCAGAGCATCTTCATGTTCGGCCAGGCGTCCCCTCACGCACTGGGCAGCTTCATGAAGGACTGGCACATAGCTCGGGACCAGCCGACCCTCCTGGTCTTCCCCGAGTTCGTCGCCCCCGGCGAGCCCCCCTCGCCCATCGGCCGCCTGGCCATGGCCAAGCGCTCCAACGAGGAGAAGCTCTTCACCGCCCTGCTGTCGATGCACCAGTACGTCACGCCATACGTGCATCGGCATAATGCGGACCTGCTGTGCCGGTCGAACCCATTGCACCGAGTGTATTGCCTCGTTCTGATCAATGTGCTGCACGAGAGCGAGTATAAAGGTCGGTGGGAGGGAGGGAGAGAAAGGGGTGTTACTTACTGGCGTCACGTATGTGTTGATGGTATGGTATGGTATGGTGCTGTTGTGGTTGTTGTTGCGACCGACCATTTTTTCAGAGGGTCCTGGCAACGACACCATGACGGTCGAGACGCTCCACCAGCACCTGGATGAGTCCAAGCGGGTCTACCACGAAGGTACCCACCCGACCGGCCCACAGAACACACCCCTCCCCACTAGAAACACACGCATCCCGCACATTTTGTAGCCGTCTTTCTGTCTGTTCGTGTGTCGGTTCAGACAACGCCCATTTGCTCGAGAAGCCTCGTGGCGAGAGGGGGGAGGAGGAGGCATCGGGCGACGGCGATGGCGACCACATCGAGGGCGACAGCGAAGACGAAGAGCTTGTCGAAATCCAAACGGTCGGTTAGGATGGGGTTGTGGGTGGGGGGCATGGGTGAGTGTTGAGTGGATGAGTGTGAGTGTTGTTTGTGTGTTGTGTTGTGTTGTGTTGGGCACAGGTTCGTCTGTCGACCATTCCAACCGGCCCCTTCTCTCTCTCGGACGTGCCGCCCACATGGAAAATGGAACGGTGAATAGACACTAGACAGACAGACAGACAGACAGAGGGAGGAGAGCATGGGGATGCGCTGGTGTGGTGGATGGCATGGCTTCAATCTGCGCGTTGCGTTGTGTGTCGCGTCAGGTTCATGCATTTCTGGCGGGACAACCTGAGCGAGGCCTCCACTTTCCTGCTCGACCTGGACGGCCAGCGATTCGCCAAACTCTCCAACAAGACACAGGTATCCACACCACACCACACCACACTAGAAGCACCAAGGCAGATTAGACACACGTGTGCGGTGTGCGGTGTGCGTTGTGAGTGCAGGTGTACGAGAACCTGTACCAGAACCTGCAGGACGAGCTGCTGATGTTCGAGCGGCTTCCCGACCGGTGCGAGGCCCAACACTTCACCACACACTGCCTATACAACCCACGGTCAGTCACACTCGCCCTCCCCCCCCCCCCCCCCCCCC